AAGAGAGTTTCCAAATTTACCTTGGCCACATTACGCTGGTCTAGTTTTTATCGCCGCCGGCTGCGTGTGAGCAGCAGCCTCGCACCCTCCCCGGGTTCCCCCGCCGTAGCGTTTATGGTGAAGGGCAGGGCGAGAGGTCACCCGAAATCATTTACAAACATAGCACAAAGTTTCATTATTTTTGCTTTGCCGACAGCCGCACACAGGAGTACAAAAGTTCATGAATTGTGCCTGACCCAGCTCCTCTCCGCTGTCCCGCGCTCAACCTCCTCTCCTTGGCTATTTAAGGCGAGGGACATAAGGAGGGATAATGGTGCGGGGCGATGCGGAGGGCGCCCGCGGGGGTGCTGCGCTCGCCCACCGATGTGCGCTGCTCGCCCCCAGCCCCGGCTGCCCAGCGGGGCGATGCTGCTCTGAAACATCTGCTTTCCGACGGCTGCTCCGCAGCAAGTGTAGCCCGCAACGATGTCACTTCCCAGGGTTGTTTCCACCTCCAGCCAACCCCAGGCGAGGGGAGCCTCGTGGTCCCCCTGTGCCCCGGGCCGGGGGGGCCTCTGGATGGGGCAGGCAGCCCCTTCCCGAGCCCCGAGGGCGCTGGGGGAGCAGCAGCTCCTGCCCTGCCTAATACTGCGCATTTTCATATTTGTTAGACGCTGTGACCTGCGTTTCACCTTATTGCACGACTTGCTCAGACAGGTCAAAGCCAAAGAGTTATTGATGAACAAAAGCGTTATATATTCACCTCCTGTTCAACTGCCCATACACAATGCTTTTGATCTATCAGCCTTTTTGTATCCTGCCTCATAATCAGTATGCTAAATGTACGTTGGCAGAAAGCAAGAAATCCATACATTTAGGGCCGGCCCTGGGATAACTTGCCAAGGGCACCGATATGACAGAGGGCTGAGCCGCAGGAGCACAAACGTTACCTATGGAGCAACACTAAAAACGCAACACTGGAGGCATTTCGTATTTGAAGGGCTCAAAAACCAACATCGCTACTAAAGGTGAAGAGAGAAAGAGCAGCCTGGCACGAAACAGAAATCGGTGATTTTTTTTTTGCCCTCCAGAAGGCGTGGGTAGAAATGGGAATCAAAACAGCTTCACTCCTGTGTTTTCTCCCAATCAGAGCATAGTTTGCAGGAGCAGGGAGGGCAATATGTCTTTAATGAACCTTCAGACATCGCAGGCTTTCTTTTCCTCTTGGAGAGACAATCCAGCCTCAGTGTGAAGCACCAGAGCTAATGCACTTAAYTCCTTAGCGCAGCTAGAGAGGGTCACCAGCATTTCCTGCCCCAGATGTAGCTGCCCTCTTGTCACCCACGCTCTGTCCCTGCGTTAGCTCCTTCTGAACCACCAAAAACACGACACACACTAAGGGCTGTCCTCGGAAGCTCAGTTACCCATTTTACAGCTTTTAAAGACATGTTTGATTTTCTCTTGCTCAGAAAGACTCCGCAGAGCAGAGGATCCTACTTGGAATATCTGTAGTCTAGGCTAACAGCGAGCCTCCCTGATGCTGGCAACAACCAAACACCAGCCCGCCTTCCGCTCCTTCAGATGAGGTTAAAATGATAGGAAACACAACTCCGAATCTCGTCTGGAGAAGGAAAAGAAAGAAAGAAAGAAAGAAAGAGGAGTAGCCAAGATTTTGGGGCGCTACGATATAACGTTAACGTGAGGGATGCGGTATCTGCATGGGGAGGCGCTGTATAGTTCCGCCAAGTTAAAATGGAAACGCCGCTAATTGCTGCTTAAGAGCAGCCTGACACCTGTACAGCCCCCTAAGCCTCCAGCCGTCCCTCCACACCGCGCCCTGCCCGGCATCCTCGCTAGGACCCGCCAGGACGTGACACCACGAACCGAGCCGCCAGGAGCATTTTCATGCTGCCAGAACCTTTTTTTTTTTTTTTTTTTTTTTTTTTTTTTTTTTTGAACAGAGATAGGTCTGACTTAATTGTTCCAGTCCAAGGAAAACAAGCAACATTTGCAAACAACGCTAATTCTGAAAGAAAGACGGAAAAGGAAAGGAAGAAAGGAAAAAAGAGGCTACTCACCGAGGATGTCTCTCCATGCTGCCGAACCTGTTGCAATAAAAACGTTTGTTACTGTTATATTCCGCACACGGGTGATATTTCTCGAGAGCGGTTAGCGAGCACATTTGATAGATGAACAGGGAGCAGAGCGGGTGGCAAGTCCTGTGAGCGGGCGGACTGGTGGGGTGGAAGCCCCTTCCGAATGAGGACCACAGTGCACACAGGCAGTTCTTATGAACACACGCTTTSCTCGTACCCAGGCTGTGATCTTACACTTTTAATATTCATAGTCATGGTTTTATAGCACATGATTTCTAGGGATGAAAAGTCAGACCTCCCTCTTTCACTACTGGAAAAAAAAAAGAAAGGAGAAAAAGAAAGGAGAAAAAAAAAAGAATAACAAAGGGCCTTTTGTTTGTTTGTTTGTTTGTGGTAATTCAATCGCTTACAAATTAAATATTCAGATCACCTTTGCTAAAACATCACCCATAAAATGTCACAACATGACGTACAGCATCCTACACATGCTGAGCATAGAAAGAACATTTTTCCAGGACCAGGTCTCGGGTTACTCCAAGATAGATAGCCTTTAAGAGCACGTAATTATCCAAACATTAAGCACAAGCCATGCGTCTTTGTTTGCGTTACAGAAGGATAGACTTGACTTGAACTTTGCTTCAAATCTTCTACTAAATACAGTCAAAGATCACATTAGGGGTGAAAAAGGGGGAAAAATCACCACACATTTAGCTACATTCGCCTGAAATGAAACGTATATTTAAAAGTAAAACATAAATGTAGGGGCCCTTTGCTGTAAACAAATTTTCGCCTCTTCTTTTGTTTTCTTGCGTTATCATGGAGAGTTATTGTATCCTATGCAGAGCAATTGCCAAGGTAAAAATAGTTGACTACAAAAAGCATCCAAATATTGCCCTTTTCTTATTTAAGTTATCCTTACACTGGACAACATCAGAGCTTGCCAGAAGAGTGGAAGAATATTGGCAATTCAGAACTGAGCAATTCTTTGCCATTCCGCTTCCTTTTCCTTTTTTTTTCTTTATTTCTATTTGTATTTTTAAAGTCAATTTCCAATAAGATGCCTTATAGTATTTAGAAATCTCGGGMAGGGAAGAGCAACCTAATTGCAGCCTGCCTCTGGCTACCTGAGTTCTACCTGTCCTT